TATGGGATCAGACCGTGATTTAAGATCTACCTGATCTGAATCTATAAAACAGTCTCTGTCTTTTACGGCCTCAAATATTTCATTAGCAGTTACGCAAGCTTTACGAGGCATATTTATTTTTTATTTCAGCCGAAAACAATGTATAAGAAGAGAGATGGAGAGATCTTAAGTATAAAAAAAAAGAATAAAATTCTTTTCAAAATAAATTTTAACTGCCAAGTACGTTAAATTGCAGCACTAAAACAGAGAGAAACTAAGAAAATATTTCAAGACGTAGAACGTCAAAAATAATCAATCTTGCAAAATGCAATGTTTTATTAAACTTTGTGTCAGGCTGTTGGTCGTTTTCAAACTACACTCCGAATGTTATTCTCGAGAAAGCGCCGATCGCTTATGTCAGGTACAAGCAAGTTTGACTCTGCTAGTAAGATTCGCGAGCGATGAGTACAACGTTTCTATCACCGCGCGAGGGCGCGAGGGGCAGCGATTGTCTTTTGGGCGCTCCACCACCACCATCAATATCTGACTACGCAACCTCCGCGCGTTCTCGGTGATATATATATATATATATATATATATATATATATACATATATATACAGTGTCTAAAAGGTATTGTTCTAGTTTAATAAATTTTAAGTTTATTCGTTGGTATTTAAAATATTTTTTTAGTTACTAATACTTTATCTATTTTTTAAAACAATTCAGTATAATACATAGTATTTTATATTTTATTAATCAATTATTTTTTCGGTTGGAATATTTACTATTAATTCACTGAATATGAAATAAGAAAAGAAATACAAAAATTGGTAGTCTTGATCTCTGTAACGTATTGTTATAAAGAATGTGATAAGTTTTAGTGTAACATTTATATCTCATCAAAACTTAATCGAGTAATATTTCAGTAAGACAATAAAGATATGTATTTTGAAAACAATTAATAACAGTGATAAATTAATAACAATATTTATAAATAAGTGTTTAAATGTCATATAATATTAATAAGAAAGTTGAAATTTCATAATTTGAAATTCCAAAGTTGCTACAAGTCCGTATCTAAAAAATTTGAACGTATCTGCCGCAGTCGACTCTTCTCGAAACTTTAATTGTTAATAACTTTTTAACTAAAGGTGTGCAAACGAAAAATCGATTTGTTTTGAAATGTGCAAACAAAAATCTATCGATTAAGATCTTTTTAATCCAATTTGCTCAAAGTTGGGGGGGGGTTAGCGTAGTGTGAAGTTAGCTTCCCCAAATTTGTTTTTTTAATAACTTTTTTACTAGAAATGTGCAAACGAAAATTCGAAATGTGCATACATGTGCAAACGATGAGCAATCAAATGAGCTATAGAAAGTTAACTTTTTCAAAAGTTGGGAGGCCAACTTCACACGGGTCTGTCGACGAGCGTACCCTCGATCGTATAATATTCCCGCGCACGCCCTGCATGATTTATACGACAGTCGAGTTCCCGCTCCATCCATATCAGTCAGTGTAAGGTTTTACGCAAATGATTGCTCGCGCATCTGTATTCCCTCGTAGGAATGATGCCTATCGTATTGGCTTGCAAAAAGTTTCTCCGGAAAACTTCATGCCAGTCGAAGCAATAGTTGTACATTCCTCGAACGGACATACATTTCCGCGATCTAGAAAGATTTTTCTAAACGCTACGCACGCTCGTCGAAGAATATCAACATCGTTACGACAGTAACGCACTATTTCGCGTTGGAAATCAAACACGGTATTTTTTTCCTCATTTCAGTATGCCATGTGAGAAAGTGTTCGCGTTCTTGCGATTTCATGCTATCCGGAGAATAATTTTGTACATCAGGTAACAGTCCGACGTACGTTTGATTTTCGATAGTATTAAATAAATACGGAAAAATGCCTTTATCCTCAGTGTTCTTTAGCCCGAAAGCCTTAGATAATTCGGATAAGCGCATCGGCATATAATTAACGCTACCGATGAATTTTGTATGTTCTGCGGTTAAAAGAATAATTTTTGTGCCATTTAAAATTACTTTCGGTTCAATATCTCTGCAATTTTTCACGATATATTTCAAAATAAATTTCGCGTCGAATGCTTTCGCATTATGCGGTATACAAATTATGTGTTTAAAATATTTTATCGGACGCGAACAAAATCTACAAACTGTTTAACCGGATCCCGTTAAAATACGAACTCTCACACTCCGCACCAATGACACCACACGGACATGTTATTTTCCCCCGCGTATGCTTCGCAAATCTGTTGCGCGATACATAATGCCAGAATATGTTTTTTTATATTTCCCGTTCCTTCGACCATCTCGTCCTGTCGCATTTCCTGTCGAAATCGTAAAATACGAATGCCACACGTCCCTTTCCGCGTTCATATTCATTGCACATTCGTTCTTTTCCGCGTTATCACATATGTTCCGTACTTCTTCTTTTCTCGTGCTAAATATATCTACCTCGTCCGATACCATCGTTGACGAAGATGGCCCGGCAGAGGAAATATCGTCACGTTGACGAAGAGGTTGCATATAATACATATGATTGCGCGGTTGTTGTAAAAGGCATAATTTGCAATAAGAAACGCCGCTTTCGTGTTTTAAATTCGATTTAACGATACGACCGCAACTATCGCAAAATCGATGCTACAAGTATTAGCGCGTATTTTACCGTACGGTTTCTCACTATGATGGCGCTCGAAACACCCTGCACCGTAAAATAACCGATTGCACGCATCGCATTTTATTTCGGAGTAAATGGAATCCCACGGCGATACGAGTAAACATTGCGGGCATTTATTTAAACATCGGTGACTATTAGGCCTATCATTTCGAAACATTACACGCTACACAATAATCGCGAGTACTAGCGGCAGCTTTTAAATTTAAAATAGGATTATAATGATAGGATTATAATGCGAATCTTCGTAATACAAGATATAATCGCCGTGAGGATTCAGTTCCGTCATACAACGGTTTTTCGCTGCGACCGAAAGTATTAAAATTATATACAACAATCGCGATATTGTCGGTGGGGAAATAACGTTGGAAACGTTCGATCTCGCGAATCTCGCAACCCTCTTCGGATATTACGGGCATTTCACCGGCATTTCTCATTAATTGCAATGCACATTCGCGTTGTAACGAAGAATGTGGATATTTTATCGCGTTCCATTTCTCATACAACTCACCTGTACGGATATTACCGCGTTTGCTATAAGTTTGAGCTACTAAAGGGGCTCGAGGGAAGCACAGATTATCCGAATTATTAATTTCGACTATCGAACGTTTCGCGACATCCTCGCGTGTTAACGCGACGCAACCGGGATCTGAAGACATCGAGACATTATAAACCCGTATCTTAAATTGGATAGCGATATCGAGATCACTGGCGGTCTGTGTTAACGAACTCACGAGTCTTCTAATATCCTCAACTCAAATCACGCACCGGACGAAAAGATATACCCGCAACACCATGCGATAAATTCGACGAATCAAACGATAATCCTACGTAATCGTTCGGTTCACATGAATTTAACGCATATGCGTGAATTTCGTGAAACGCGTTTTCTAACGAGTGATATATATCGACGCCTTCAGTCAATCATGAAACTCGCTTCTCTACCAATTACCCGGAATCTTCTAAATTGTCGCGCATTTACCGATATTAAATTTACAAAATTAAAATTATTATTTCCGACCTGTTGCTGAAGTTGTTGCTGCTGTTGTTGTTACTATTGTTATTGTTGTTGTTGCTGCTGGTACTTATGCTTCTCCTCCTTCACGTCCTCTTCACCCTCCTCAGTTTCGAATGAAATATTTTCCGAGCAGGGTAACACAGTTACCTTCCCCTCAGTCTCTTCCTCCTTCGCTTTTTCTTCCTCATTGCTGGGGGAGAGCGCTGAATTTTGTTCGCCGTCAACACCACCTCCGTATTGCACTGTTAAAAATAAAAAATCGTATAAATTATAAAATACCATTTTTATTATTTTGTGGCGTCCTGCCTTACGCCACATAAGCGTAACGGCGTATAATGCCGAGCGTCTGACCGCACGGCAACCTAGGCACACAAGTACGCGCGCGGTAGCGCGAGCATACAGGCGCCGATCTTCACGCAAGTGAAATCCGGCGAGACCCGTATATAAGGCCGACCACGGCAAGTCGAATTTGAGTCTCAGCTCGAACAGACTATAGGGTCAATAACACTATACGTCAATCAGCTAGAGTACTCCTCTTTTGAATTGGAAGGTAAAACTTCCAAAAACATTCGCCGCCGCATTCATCGACCAGCGTCGACGCCCCGATCACCCGGGCCACTTCGACCGTCGTACTGTGCAACTCCCGAGCCGGAGAGGAGAGCGTCCTTCACCTTGCTGCCTTGGACATTGCAGCCGATCGATCTGGAGCCGCCTCGCTTCACTAGGCCACCAAGGGAGTTGTTAACTACCTGGGACATCAGGATACGACGATACACATCACCACTCGGATCCTGGGCAGTTACAGCGGCTTTATCTCCTCTGTCTCTATCACCGATCAACCGAACATCACAGGGGACGCAAACCACCGCAATCAGCCGGATACACCGAGGAGTCCAGGTGACGCAGCCGCCAAAAACAATGGCTGACCAGGAGACCCAGTCCGACTCTGACTGGGAGACGCCCACGAGCACGGCGGCCACACAGACGGAGCCACCGAAGCGCCGCAAATCAGAGGTGGACGTCAACAATAATAACGACGACAGCTCCTGGGGACCACTCCTGTACACAAAGGCGACTCCGCGGATTTCATACCGGGAACGCGTGCATACAAACGGCCCTTTTCAGGACCCTGTAAATAGAAAACTTGTAAAATAAACTGTACATAGATAACCATACTGCGAGTAACTGATTCAAACGTAAACCTCGTTACCACGATCTACCTTGCGGCCAATAGTCTGGTTAAGATAGAACAAACACGCAACCATACGATGCCATAAAGTGGTGACCCGCCGACGGAAGAGATACGACCATGCCGAAGAAGGAGAATACCATCATAGTGAAAGACGACGAGACCGTCAACAGAGTCGCAGTGCGCATCCCACCTTTTTGGCCAGAAAACCCGGAGCTTTGGTTTGCGCAGCTGGAAGGGCAGTTCACGCTAGGCGCCATCACCGACGATGACGTCAGATATGGCTACGTTTTATCAAAACTAGAGCCACGGCAAGCTAAGGAAATCAAAGACGTAATCACCAATCCCCCCTCCAGCAACAAATATTCAGCTATAAAGCACGCGCTGATTCAACGACTGACAGATTCGCAAGAGCAGCGGATCAGGTAGCTTCTGGAAAGAGAGGAGCTAGGAGACAGAAAACCTTCGCAATTTCTCCGACATCTATCAACGCAGGAACGACAGTCTCCGACGACTTATTACACTCTGGCTAGGACGTCTTCCGCCGCAGATCCAAGCAATCCTCGCAACGAGGAAAGGCGACAAGCTGCAAGACATGGCAGAACAAGCAGACCGCATCCATGAGGTCGATAGTAGAGCTCTCGTTCTTGCCATAGATCTCCGGCCAGCAACAGCAGCAGTAGCAGCAGCAACCAGCAGCCAGAATACACTTACGACGCAGATGGAAGCGCTCACTTTGCAGGTGGCAACTCTCACCGAGCAGCTTACAAACATGGCCAAAGAGCTGCGGAGAGGACGCAGCCGAAGCACAAAGTCGGTCACGAGGCAGACCCCGCAGTAGGACACCAGCCAAAGAGGAACTCTGTTACTATCATCGACAATTCGGCACAGAAGCTCGCTGATGTGCTCAGCCATGCACATTTCAGAAAAACGAGTAGGGCACTCATTGTTAGCGGCCAATGACGAAAGCTCGACACATTGCCGCCTATACGTGACAGACCGAAACACCAGGACAAAGTACTTAGTGGACACCGGCTCAGACGTCAGCGTCTTTCCACAAACAACAGTAAACGGCAAGAGACGACCAGAAGCGTACGAACTCTTCGCGGTGAACGGCACACCTATCATCACATACGGCTCCATCACCATCAAGCCTGATTTCAACTTAAGGAGAGCGTTCCCGTGGAGATTCGTAGTAGCCGACGTGGGACAGCCTATAATCGGAGCAGACTTCCTGGCATTACGACCTGCTTCCGAACATGAAAAGAGGAAAACTCATAGACGGCAAGACAAGCCTAGCAACCACAGGCGCTAGATGTTATAATTCTTTTCAATAAAAACAATGGTGGAAAAAAGCGAATTCCACACACTATTGGCGAAATTTCCGGACATCACCAAACCGACCAGAACAAAGGAGGTGACAACACACGGAACGCACCATCATATCCAGACAACGTGAAATCCTCCAGAAGCCAGCAGGCTACGAAGGCTGGCGCCAGATAAATTACACGCAGCCAAGACGGAATTCGATCTACTTCTACAAGAAGGCATCATCCAGCTCTCAAAAAGTGCTTGGTCGTCGCCCCTTCATATGGTACCGAAGAAGGACAAGACTTGGCGTCCGTGCGGAGACTACAGGAGATTGAACGCCAGAACAATACCCGATCAATACCCAATACCGCACATCGAGGATTTTGCACAGACGCTCTACCAGAAAAAGATCTTCACAATGATTGATCTGGTTAGAGCTTATAATCAAATCCCGGTGCGAGAAGAAGATATACCGAAGACAGCGATAACCACACCGTTCGGACTGTTTGAATTCAGATACATGCCGTTCGGATTACGCAACGCAGCGCAGACGTTCCAACAGTTCATCAACGAAGTTTTGCATGGGTTAGATTTTTGCTATGCGTATATTGATGATATACTGGTGGTATCAACAAGTAAAGAACAGCATAAGATCCACCTGAACCAATTATTCACCCGACTCGACGAATACGGGGTCAGAATCAACCCAGCCAAGTGCATCTTCGGAGCAGATGAAGTGAAGTTCCTTGGTTATTTGGTCACAGAGAAAAGAACTCAACCACTACCAGAGAAGATAGAGGCGATCACAAGTTTCCCTCAGCCGACTACGATCAAACAGTTACGACAATTCCTAGGGATGATCAACTTTTATCGGTTCATCCCGAGAGCAGCCGAAGAACAAGCCGCATTAAACGACGTGCTAAAAGGACCTAAAATCAAGGGAACAACACCAATAAATTGGGGTCAAGAGCAAGCACAAGCCTTCGACAGATGCAAGGAAAGCCTGTCAAGAATCACGCTGTTAGCTCACCCAGACCCAGCAGCTAGATTGACAGTAACAACAGACGCTTCAGACACGGCCATGGGTGGCGTAATCCAGCAGAGAACCACTAACGGATGGCAGCCACTAGCGTTCCTGAGCAAGAAGTTCAGTACAGCACAAACGAAGTACAGTCCGTACGACAGAGAGCTACTAGTTATCACCATCAAGCACTACCGACACTTATTAGAAGGCAGGATATTCACAATATTCACTGACCACAAGCTACTAATCTACGCCTTCAAAAAAGACCCACTGCCGAGACAAGCAAGACATCTAGAATACATAGGACAATTTACAATAGATATTCAACACATCGAAGGGAAGAACAACACAGTGGCCGACGCATTATCACGAGTGGAAACTATACACGTAGCAATAGAACTAGAAGCAATAGTTCACGAACAACAACACGATGCAGAGCTGGAAGAATTATTAAAAAATAAAGAAAGAATTAAGCTGACACGCATCTTAATACCAGGATCAACAGAGGCAACTTGGTGGGACACTAGCACACCATTCTTCGACCGTACGTGCCGAGAAGTCTAAGAGAGCAAATTTTCCGTTATCTACATGGACTGGCCCATCCAGGGACTAAAGCATCTGCAAAACTAGTCAAGGAAAGATATGTCTGGCCAGGAATGCAGCGAGATTGCATGAACTGGGCAAAAACATGCATACAGTGTCAGAAAGTAAAAGTTACGAGACACAATCATACACAACCAGGAACTTTTATTATTTTATTATTTTAATATTATTATTTTAATAATTTTTATTATTTTAATATTTTTATACTCGAATGTAATCTGTATTATGAATCTTATAATACAATGAAATAACTCACCTTTTTAGCAATATTTGTTGTTTTTTATTCCCTTACTAATATTCTGGGGAATGGCTAATCCCCCAGCGACGAGTTTTTAAAGAAAAATTAAGAATTTGAAAATATATCGAGAAATAAATTAATAAAGTTATCTTCTTTGGAGGGAGCATGTATATTTTCCTCTTCTTCTTCATCCCCTCCTTCCTCTCTCTCTGTCTCGTCTTCTTCTTCCATCACTATCACTTCTTTCTCTTCTTGCACTTCTTCTTCTCCGCTCTCCTCTGGCTCTTCTTCACTAATTTTCACTCTTTTGTTATATTCGGATTTTCGTTTTAGTATATATTTTACATCATCATCTTATCTGGCGAGAACACTTCGCTATCGGGGCTGCTGACTGCGTATGTGATGTCGGCAATGTCATTGTCCATGTTTTCCTTGCCATCATCGTTATTGTCGTCGTCGTCGTTGTCAAGAACAACAATGGGAACCGCTGGATTTTCATCGAGTAATCACGGTCTTCCTGAAATGTAGAATATTTTTTATTGATTATTATTTTTATTACTACTGAACAATCTATCTAAAAAAATTAGCACGCGTTTTTATTACGTGCAAACTTACGTGAAGAAAATAAAATCATTCAAATAGGCATAGAGAACTGGAGGTCATTATTAGTCGCGAATTATACAGATTAAATAAAAGTAATAGGTTAAAACTTTAAATTTAATAATACATCGATGTTTAAACAATTTAGGAGCGGACGTTTCGACTTATATTTAAGTCATCTTCAGCGCATGTTAATTCGCGGAAAGTAAGCTGATGTTGTACGCAGTAAACATATATAATGAATAACATGATAAGAAAACTAGCGTCTACGAGCCACAGAGGATGGTAAATGCCTGAAAAATTCTTTTTAATTGTACGCGAAATTTTAAACGAAAAACACGGCATATGCATATATTTTACTTGGTGCATTTAACCAAGATATAGATTCTCATTTTTGAGAAATTCTATACAACCCTCTTTACCCCCCTGAAGAGACGTAGACGAGAAAAATATCGGGGCGAAGTCGCTGAATCGGGAATCGAACCCGAGTCTTTCGCTTGCCGGGCGACTGCTCTTACCACTGAGCTATTCAGCCCCACACCGATATTACCCTCGTCTATTTGTTTATAACTATGGACAATGAAACGCGATCATTTCAACTAGCGCGTGAATTAAATTAAATCGAAAGGAATTAGGCTCGTTATATATTCAATAACATGATAAGAAAACTAGCGTCTACGAGCCACAGAGGATGGTAAATGTCTGAAAAATTCTTTTTAATTGTACGCGAAATTTTAAACGAAAAACACGGCATATGCATTCGCCCGGCAAGCGAAAGACTCGGGTTCGATTCCCGATTCAGCGACTTCGCCCCGATATTTTTCTCGTCTACGTCTCTTCAGGGAGGTAAAGAGGGTTGTATAGAATTTCTCAAAAATGAGAATCTATATCTTGGTTAAATGCACTAAGTAAAATATATGCATATGCCGTGTTTTTCGTTTAAAATTTCGCGTACAATTAAAAAGAATTTTTCAGGCATTTACCATCCTCTGTGGCTCGTAGACGCTAGTTTTCTTATCATGTTATTGAATATATAACGAGCCTAATTCCTTTCGATTTAATTTAATTCACGCGCTAGCTGAAATGATCGCGTTTCATTGTCCATAGTTATAAACAAATAGACGAGGGTAGTATCGGTGTGGGGCTGAATAGCTCAGTGGTAAGAGCAGTCGCCCGGCAAGCGAAAGACTCGGGTTCGATTCCCGATTCAGCGACTTCGCCCCGATATTTTTCTCATCTACGTCTCTTCAGGGGGGTAAAGAGGGTTGTATAGAATTTCTCAAAAATGAGAATCTATATCTTGGTTAAATGCACCAAGTAAAATGTATGCATATGCCGTGTTTTTCGTTTAAAATTTCGCGTACAATTAAAAAGAATTTTTCAGGCATTTACCATCCTCTGTGGCTCGTAGACGCTAGTTTTCTTATCATGTTATTGAATATATAACGAGCCTAATTCCTTTCGATTTAATATATAATGAATTTCAATTCGCAGTAAAACAGTAGCAAGATCATCTTACGATTATATCCATGGAAACGGACCTTAGAAGTTTAGATTAATAGGCCTAAATTTTGTGTGGTTCTAATAGACGTTTGTCAAACCGCAGACCAATAGTCAGACTATAAAAATAATGTAATTGTCAACCATGGATCCGCAATATTTACATTTGAAATGAAACTTTAAACAATGAACAAAATACAACTTATTAAAATTAAAATAAATAAATCAAAATCAAGAAGTTATTAAGCTTAGTGAGATATGTAAGAGTAACTTACAAAATTATGATGAGTCCGAATATATTAATTTATATGTCACTGGAAAACTTTATAGAACTGTATGTTACTTCCTTCTTCGAAGGTACGAATATAAATGACAGCATAACGTTCGTTATACTAGTATTAATTTTTCTGTGTATGATCTCAGATATCAGGAAGTTTATTTATTAAATCATTGTATATGTCAGGGAAGCATTCTGTGTCTGTTTGTGAATTTAAGCCATTATGTTGTCGTTTAATATAAATCATTTCCGAAATTAGTCTTTTGTAATAAAAGGTTTCTCTGTCTA